ACAGTGGTGGTGGTGGTGGGGTGTATGTAAATACATGTATCAGTGTGAGTGTAGACATATAAAATTACCTTCAGGTAATGCAGGCACAGGAGTCAATGGAGCTTCTCACACAAAGTGACAGTTTAAAACAACTGATTTCATAACAAAAGTTCAAGGTTTACAGTTTATTTTCATAGTGTAGACTTACGTTTGTGTAGAGTATTCTTATTTTCTAAGTAGAAAGTTTTTTAATTGGAAGGTTTTAAAGGTGAATGGAAAGTTTGAAATTTGTGAAGCCTAAAGGCCCTCAGGAAATGAAGACTCATCTTCACAATCCTCCCTAGTTAAGCTCCTGAAAATTAGAGTGATCTTTGTGCCCATCTTCTGTTGTAGCCTGTTTGTGTCATCCAACATAATCATCTTGACACCCATCACCTGTTCTCTCTGAGAGAGTACTAGTACTAGAGTACTAATACAAAAGGTACTCTAACATATTCTGACACATCCCTTCCTAACGTATGATCAAAAAAAATGAGGAGGCAGGTTCAGGGTGATAAATTATGACATTACTTTATATATCTAATGGAGTATGCATGTATGTGAATGTGTATCTATACAAATAATAGTCGTGTCTGTTTAGAGTTAGAAGATTCAAGGTTATGTCTTGTATCCTTAGAGGTTAATTTAATATGATTTGGAGATTACAAGATTTTTTCCATCTGAAATTGTGAGAGAGCTATCCACACATATAAAATAAAAATAAAGACAGGGCTATATGGCCAAGGAAGGAAGAGCATCACTATGCTGAATAGTTTGCTTGTCTAGTGCCTGGCTTAGAGCTGTAAATGTGCTGTGGTATCTCTATACTCACTGACTTCCTTGTACACATTGTCACAGGAGGCTTGGCTTAATCAGTTGTGAACTGAAAAAAGTAATATAAATTGGAACCTTTTGTCATGGAATATTTAAATATGGATATGTTTTAATGGCTTTGGGGAGAAAATTTAGCATGAGAGATTGTAAGAAACAAGAAATCGATTACATGTAAGAAAGGACTTGAGTGTCTAATCAAGTATTACCATATACAGAGAGATCCCTAGCTAGTTATAGCTTAATTCAAAGGGGATAATGGTTAGATTTTTTGTTAAGTTTTATCAAAAAATGACATTCCTATTCGCTCTTTATCTAGTTTTGCATAATACACTCTTACAATGATTTGGAAAGCCATCCCTGTGTAAATATTGAAGCATATGCTACAGAATATCCGTCAGTAGTGTGTTTTCTATTAAATACAGGCATCAATGCAATTTTTATTTACTTTTGCTGGAGAAATAAAAGCCAAGCAACTTATTGCTGAAAATTAACAAGATATAGCTTAATATAACTAGTAAGAGTAGGCAAAAATCATTTAAGAGCAGCTTTCTGATTCCCTGCTGTTTCTCTGAATGACAGCAAGAGTAATGCCATGACATTCGCACTCTTGACTGCCAGTTTCTCTGATCAGTGGGACTTGGCAGCTGCTGAAGGTGTGGCCCTCCTCATTGCAAACACTTAAACTAAATAAAACAAAGTGGGGTGGTGTCTCATTGAGAGGTAGCTCATGTAGCCAACTTCTGGGTTCTCTAAAGCATAGTGGGAGCCCCCACATTTAGACGATTCCTGCCTGTTGTGTACATGCAGAGAGCTGGGTGTGCTGCCACTGGGTGAGGGACTGTGTGGTACCACCTTCTGCTTACATGCGGGAGTCTGTTACAGGATCTGTACCTACTATTCTCACGAGTTATTGTTGTACTGGCTGTATTTAATTTTTATTTACTTAAATACCCGTTCTTGTAAAGCATCCATCTGTTGCATAAGCCTGTGAGTGATTTACAAATTAAAGCAAAAACAAAACAAATTACTACCAGTAGTAAGCAGCCTGCAGCTGGGTGCAGACAGGAATCCTAATTCGGTACATGTAAACAGTGTAAATTAGACAACATTCTTTCCATCATCAAACAATGCAAGTTACAGTTAGAAGGAATTAATACTTGTAGTCTGGGATTAGAAATGTGTGGATTTAGATTGGGTCAGAGGTGACAGTGAAGGCCTGGAGATCAAAATCTGAACAAAGTCTGGTTTTGCAGTATATGTAAGAAGTTTTAGGTCACATTCATGGGAAGCGTAGCCAAAATCAGATGGATGGGAAGTAAAAGTCTTAGAGCACTAAAATATGAACCTGTTTTTTAATTTTTTGTGGTAGTGGTGGTTTATTTTTTTCCCTCCCCTCGACCCATTTTGGTTTTGTTTTGTTTCACTTTATTTTGTTCTTGGGTGGGGTACTTTGACGTTCTGGATGATTCCTGTTAGATAGCACTGACTGCCTGTAAAATACTGCTTCATCAGGCAGGTAGAACTGGAAGGGCATTAGAAATGTTCAAAGGTGAGGACATTTCCTGACTAATGCTGCAAATCAAGACCACCACCTGCATCGTGGTGTTCCTTCATCACTGTGTAAATACATGCTAAACATTTTCTGCATAGAGATGGTTTCTGGGGCTTTCCATCTGGGTCAGCTGCGTAAGATTTTCCATAGTTAAATGTTGTTGAGGGTTTTGTAGTCTTGTAAGGTTTGATTGTGAAAGGGTCATGTGTGAGGACTGTCTAGAGGTTTTACAGTTGGATCTAAGGCACTGAAACATACAGGGCATTGACCTTCAACATTAACTTTGTATCCACAGGTGACACAGATCAGAACTGAGATAATAAAAACAGATGTAATCAAATAAATATATACTTTACTATTTGGGGCAAATTGCATTTTCCGATACTCTAGGAAATGTGAGGGAAGAGAGGAATTAATCCTCTGAAGACTAAAGATAATGAAATAAATTAAGACCTGAAAAAAAACCAGAAAGGCATTTGCAGGCTTCATAATCAAACAAGAGCTAGTGGTTTTTGCAGTAGTGCATAGTCCAAAGTGTTCAAAGTTCTGAAGCTGAGATTCAAGATTTAAAAAGATCAGAGACAGTACAATGGAGTATCTTGCAAGGCTTTCAAACTGTTTAATGCATGAGGAAGCACTGGAATAATTCTGGTCTGATGGCCTGCAAAAGTGCTTGTGGGTTATAGTTACTGTGCTGAGGTTATGTCCAGCATTTGCCCAAAAGGAAAGATGTCAATAAAATTATGTATTAATTATATAAGTATTTTAATATGTTTTTATCAATACATACTGGAATGGATTGCCTGACATTACATTGCAGAATTTTCAAGTCCTACCTTCAGGCAAATCTCATGCTTACTAGCAAAAATGAAAGTGTGAAATGCTTTTTAATGTATATTTAACAACAGATAGTCTAGTGATTACTGATGTGTATTCTCTCTGGATTTTTCCCTTGCTATCAGAAGGCAGTGTTAAGAGACAACATTTTTACACATTTATGCTATCTACATCCATCAGATGCTTACTTTTTACATACTTTTAACTGTCATTTATAACAAGGCTGAAAAAAAGTAATCTCTTAAATCTAAACCATACCAAGATTGCAAGCTTACAATCAATTGCCAGTAATAGTTCGGTTACACTTAAAACCAGTGTCCCAATTTCTACCTTTTGATACAAGTTAATAATTAATATGTTTTTCAGTATTGCCATCATGAAAAAAAAAAAAAAAAAAAAAAAAAAGAGTATTATGTGCTATTTTTAAGACTTTTTTGCCTTGCATCAAAATTTCTTGTGAGATGGCCGAGTGACTTATGACTTCTTACATTTAAGAAGCAAATCTATCAAATGCATTTATTTAACTCTTTCTTATAGTGTCACCATAGTGATTAAGTACAATTTTCTGTATTTTACAGTGGAGTGCACAACAACAGTTCATGTTTTACGCTAATATATGCTAAACAGTAGCATTGTACTTAGATCAATGTTGTTAAAATGAAAGTATTGAAAGCATTTTGGATCAGAGCCCCATGGTATACATTTTGTTTGCTCTGACGTTATTAAACTCAATCTGTTTCTCTGACTGTGACTCTAATTACTATATTTGTATGGCTGGAAAGTTTGAAATTTTGGTCAAGTTCTGTTAATGCTGTTTGCATGTTGTTTTTTGAGCTTAGTGTTTCATGTTCAGAGAGCAGAACACCTTCTATTGAATTCAATAATTATGCAGAATCAATACGTTTTTTCTTTGTGTTTGTTGTTTCTTTGATATGGCTTCTAGGATGCTGCAGGCAAGGTGCTGGACCGCTGGGCCATCATGTCCAGGGAAGAAGAGATCATTACCCTTCAACAGTTCCTGAGATTTGGAGAAACCAAATCCATTGTGGAGCTGATGGCAATTCAAGAAAAAGAAGGGCAGGCTGTGGCTGTGCCATCTTCAAAGACAGATTCAGATATAAGGACTTTTATTGAAAGCAATAATCGCACCAGGAGCCCAAGTCTCCTTGCTCACCTGGAGAACAGCAATCCTTCCAGTATTCATCATTTTGAAAACATCCCAAATAGCCTTGCATTCCTGCTTCCATTCCAGTACATAAATCCAGTCTCTGCTCCGCTGCTGGGGCTGCCTCCAAATGGCCTCCTGCTGGAACAGCCAGCAATGAGGCTCCGTGAACCAAACCTTACAACCCAAAATGAATATAATGAGAGCAGTGAATCTGAAGTTTCCCCTACACCTTTCAAGAATGAGCAAACATCCAGCAGGAATGCTTTGACCAGCATCACAAATGTTGAGCCTAAAACTGAGCCAGCCTGCATCTCTCCTGTTCAGACACCTACTCCTGTCAATGATTTATCAAAACCAGAACACACTAAAAGCTCGTTCCGTATTCACAGAATGAGGAGAATGGGGTCGGCCTCTAGGAAAGGAAGAGTATTTTGCAATGCATGTGGCAAAACTTTTTATGACAAAGGTACACTTAAAATCCACTACAATGCCGTTCACCTGAAAATCAAGCACCGGTGCACTATTGAGGGCTGCAACATGGTCTTCAGCTCTCTCAGAAGCCGCAATCGCCACAGTGCTAACCCCAATCCCCGCCTCCACATGCCTATGTTAAGGAACAACCGTGACAAGGATCTAATTCGTGCTACATCAGGTGCCGCCACTCCAGTCATAGCAAGTACAAAATCCAACCTAACTTTAACAAGTCCTGGGCGTCCACCAATGGGGTTTACCACTCCTCCTCTAGATCCTGTACTACAGAACCCTCTTCCCAGTCAGCTCGTGTTCCCGGCTTTAAAGACTGTCCAACCTGTTCCTCCTTTTTACAGAAATTTACTTACTCCTGGAGAGATGGTGAGTCCTCCAACCTCGCTCCCTACCAGTCCAATAATACCAGCAGTGAGTGGCATGGAGCATCCTCCTCCTCCTCCTTCAGAGTCATCTGTACCTTCAGTGCTGATGCCCACTCCAGAGTCTAATGCTGACCTTGCCCCCAAGAAGAAGCCAAGGAAGTCTAGCATGCCAGTTAAAATTGAAAAGGAAGTTATCGATACTGCTGATGAGTTTGATGATGAAGAGGAAGAGGTGAATGACAGCAGCACGATGGTGAATGACATTGGTCATGACAATCACTGCCATTCTCAGGAGGAAATGAGCCCAGGCCTGTCTGTGAAAGACTTTTCCAAAAGTGACAGAAGCAGATGCATTTCTAGACCAGACATAAGAAGGGCAGACAGCATGACATCAGAAGACCAGGAGCATGAAAGAGACTATGAAAATGAGTCAGAGTCATCAGAGCCCAAATTGTGTGAGGAATCCATGGAAGGTGATGATCGCCTCCATGAACCTGGTGAAAAATCTATGATGCACAGTGACAGACCAGATGAAAACCACGACTCTTCCAACCAGGATGTCATTAAGGTGAAGGAAGAGTATACAGACCCTACATATGATATGTTCTACATGAGCCAATATGGACTGTACAATGGAGGCAGTGCCAGTATGGCTGCCCTTCATGAAAGTTTCGCTTCTACATTCAACTACAGCAGCCCTCAGAAGTTCTCCCCAGAAGGTGAAATGTGCTCCAGCCCAGACCCCAAGATCTGCTATGTGTGCAAGAAAAGTTTCAAGAGTTCCTACAGTGTGAAGCTTCACTACAGAAATGTTCATTTAAAAGAGATGCATGTCTGCACAGTGGCTGGCTGTAATGCTGCGTTCCCGTCACGGAGAAGCAGAGACAGGTCAGTAAATATTAATTGATTTTCTACATTATTAAATGTGTTGAATTATGTAAGAATAGGCAGTTTAGGATATATGAAGAAACAGAGAGATGTACAGTAATGACAACTGACAGTTGTGTTCCCATGACATTGAGAGAGTTTTATCACTTTAAGATTTTCATTGTTGCTTGGCATTCAGAATAGTATATATTGTGCTATCCTCTTAAGTGACTGGCTAGATAATAAATGTCACTGTTCTTTCTGTGTGCCTGTGAACATGTGTATTGTACTTCTGTTTATAAGCTGCAGCTTTTATTACATTTATTTTCTTCTCCCTGCAACTTTTAAAACAAGAAAAACTTCTATTAATATATAGTGAATTATATACAATACAAATATCTCCATGTATGCATATCAAACCATAGAACTAGGAAACAGGGGGAGGTGTGGATGTACGGTTGGATGAATGGATGGAGAGAGAAAAGGAAGGATTGGAATAAAATAATTTCCATCCCCATAGGGTCATATAAAAGCAAACAGAAGGCATTAGAAGACTATTATTTTTTTCTCTTCAATTTTTAAAACTAACTGCTATGTTGTAGCAGGAACAAGTAAATATTAAGAAAACAGTTGTCTCTTTCTTTAGTAGAATTTACACACCTCTCTGTACACTATGGTCATTTAGTTTCTTTTATCTTCTTTTCTGCATGTGAGCAACTGCCTTTCACACTATGGGAATTATGCACACTCAGAGAGGAGAGGCTAGACCCCTACATATTTTTAAGATCAGCCAGGGTATATTCTGTGGCCCTTCAGATGACATCATGCCCTAGCTATGCTGCATCAATACTGAAACAGTTGGGCTTAAACAGAAGCAGCTGTTAGGGTCTGACTGTGTTTTTTTTTACACCATTCTTTTTGATTCCTGAGGAAAATGTAATATAAATGGAATTTGTCAAGGTGGTAGGATAACACAGTTATTTCATACTTGTAGAAAAAAGCTCTTGCATGTGATGATGATCATACTGTCACATAACAAAATATCTCTGGTTCATGGAGTGATGATGAGATTAGGTTGTCTCTTTTTCTTTACTTGTGTTTCATATTTTTTTCATTATGTTGTAAAAACTCAGCAGACACAGGAAGGAAATTAAACCTAGTTAAACATTTCACACACAGCTCCTTTTTTTTTTTTTTTTTTTTTTTTTAATTTTTCCATTGAAATTGAATATATCATATATAAAATGAGAACAAGTTAGTGTTGAGGATACTGAGGAGTCAAAATTGATTATTTTAATGGAGATTCCAGTCCCCAAATATCTCATGTCTTCTGTTACTATTTATGAAATCCACTAAACAGCAAAATAGGAACACACATAAGAATACAAATTCAAAACATCTAAGAAGGACAATCTAGAGTTTGCATTTCAGTAGGATGAAACCACTGGACGTGAAGCAGGTAAACTAAACTAAGACTCCCTTCCTGCCGTATCTTGATAACTTTTTTTGAGACGAGTTTGACAACGGAAGCATGTGCGTTAAGTGGCATAATCTATGCTTGAGTTCAGATGTGTGAAGAACCACATTTAGTCCCTTAAATTGCATGGGATTTTTTAGTCAAGAATTTGGCTTGTTTGGTCTGTTTCCTTAAGCAAATTATGAAAAGTCAGTGACGTACTAAGCAAAACAGCTTTACATTTAGCATGTGAAGTAGAAAGTGGCTAATTTTAGAGTTTGGAACATTATGCAATGCATTCTGTTTCAGCAGGAATCCATTGATAGATCATACTACTAATAAAGTTAATATAGTAAAGATTTATATGTTTTTAGAAAAAGGTGAGTGTGATAACATACATAAAATATTTCTGAGACAAGAACATTAAAAAGGGGCACATTTTGAAAATATTTTCTGAACTATGTAGGATACTCTTATTAAGCTTATTATAAGCAAGCCATAAAATAAAAATCTGATTCAAGAACGTAAAATGCAGGCTGCATATTTAAAGGCAAAATTATTATTTACACATCATTTTGAGTTGTGTAGGGCTCAAGACCATCTATATCATTACACTAGTAACATTCAGAATATGTTTCAATTATACATTGCATATGAGATTAAAAAAATCATAGGCATGTTATATCCTTTAATTGCAAAGATTTGAGTGGTTATACACTTCAAAAAATTCAAAGCTATGATACAGTTTGCGTGCACATTCAGGCGTGATGTTTTTGTAAGTTCATTAGCACTCATATCTTAGGGACAGTCATTACCTAAATATAAAATTTCTACCTCTTCAAATTATGGAGAGCACCTCAAAGATAACTGGATAACTAAATTAATAGCATTGCAAAGTGAGAACTTCTCCCAACCACTTAAATCAATTTAATTTAAAAGCTCTGAAGCATTTTGCTATTAAATGCAGTACAAGAAGTAAGAAATAGCTACCTAAAGCACACAGCAATAATTCCTGGATAATATTTGTCATGTACTGGTGTTCCAATTTGGACACATTATAAAAAATCTGTGTGATTTGTTTGTGTTGTGAGTCACATAATCCTTGACTAGCTAGAGAAGCTTAGAATTTCTTTAATTTGAAAATGAAAATTAAGTAATTTTTTCAGGACTATCTTCTTAATGAAATCAGAGTTTTAACTATCCCATAGCTTACAGTCTTGTGAAGTTACTATCTTTAGTAATTTTATTAATCATTTTACTAGTACTGTATTAATAATATTATTAATCCTGTTATAACTAGTTAGTGGTCTAAACCTCATAACTCCGGTTATGTTCCAAAAGAAAATACAAGCTTATGAGGAGATAACTAACATTGGCTAATCCTCTTTGTTTCCTTTAGAGGCATCTGATATGGCTTAAAGGCATTTTCCAATGCAATTCTAGTTAATCAAAGGTTTGTCTATATTCCCCATTCTGTACATATACAAAACTCCAAATTGTTAACAGTGGGTGTAGCTGTTGTAAAATGCGCTTTGCAAGAGTGGGGTTGTGATATAAACTGCTGGTTACTAGAGAGCAAATACAGTGCTACTTCTGACTGAAGAAGCGTTTTTTTATCCATGTCACAGCTGCAGCCCTCTGTTGTGGAATGCATCCTGTAGCAATTCACATTAAGGGCTGACTAAATCCAGCTTCACCATTCCTACATCATTTGTGCCAAGGTCAACTCCTGTATAAATATCCTTCTGCCAGAAAGGTTGGACTATCTGCTGAGATCTTTGACTAAACAGTGTTATTTCTTGTAAATTAGGATCAAGATAACCAGAAGATTCAGGAGTCCACCTCATGTGTTTTTCCAACACAGGCCAGAGGAAAGCAAAGCAGATTCCTGGCCCTTACCATCAATAACCCAGTAATTCTGTTTTCCCTTCTAAAAATTAGGCACTACTGCTTTTGACTTGTCAAGCTCCACTGTGTGTAGGGTTTTTTTTTTTTAAAGGGCCTTTTTTTATCACCTTCTGAGCTACAGGTAACATCAATCACAAAACCATCCTTATACATAGCTATATCTGTGATCATTTCTCCAAACAGATAACTCTTTCTGTCTTTGTTTTCCTGGAAGCACTACACTTGTGAAAACTGCTTTTTCTTCCATTCTTCACCAGAAACTCCCTGAATTAGCTGTCCATCCATGTCTGTTTCTACATTTATTTTACATGTCCTTTCTTCTAAAGGCAAGATATTCAGGCTACATCTTCTTGTAAGAAAGAAATGAAGAATAAATAGGGAAAGAGACTGTATTAAAAATTACGTCAATAGTCAGAAGCAATGTCATAAGCCTCCTTTTGAATGAAGGAGGAGGATAATTTTTTAGATGGAAAAGAGAAAGAAGTTAAGTTCTTGTGAGAACCATGCACTCGAATGGGAAGAATTGTCTCTCTAAAGTGGGTTGTCTCTGGACTCAGAGGGGGTCTCTCCTGTGAGTGAGGAGGAAGTGCCTGTGGCACCAGTGGTTAGATTGCCATGGGATATGCTTCCCAGCTTTATCTGTGAGTCCTGCCCCAGCAGGTACTGACTTCGCCTTACGTGTGGTTGGTCCTTTAAGCCAGCACTGAGTTACGCTGCTCAGGGAATGATCCTGAGCTGTAGATGAGACATGTGGATGTGAGGAGGAAGTAGTTATTTCCTGTTCAAAGAGAACAGCAATGCCAGTTTCGTCTTAAGAGTCTGTTGAAGAGCACATGCAGAGCTGAAAGTCTGGAAGCTTCAAGCAGTTGGCTTCGTTTCTGGCTCTCACCTTTAAGAGCCAATAATTTTGTGGTCAAAACCACTGATGAAACAGGAGGCAGATGGACCTGCCTTCAGTAAGTCTTGTTGAGAAGCTGTCAGATCTGAAGGAGAAATACAGCCATCTTCTCTGTCAACCTCAGTACCTGCTACATTCCTGTTTCACCTAGTATTGGCACTATTAAAATCTGTGTTTGTTAAGGTAGGACACAGCATTAGTAACAATATGTTGCCACATTTTCCTTTTACTCAGAGTATGCAAAATTAATTTATTTAACTTATTTAATTAATTTATAATCCTCAGTGTACCTGTACAGAGGAACAAAGCAAGAACTTTTCATTTTGTCTTTCTGCTACTGAAGTAGGACTATTAATTGCTCAAGTTTGTCTTTAAATTTTTGCACCAAGTGAGCATGTGTGTATGTGCGTGTTCCACAAGATGGGAAAGGTGACTGAGACCATGAATGAATTTAAAAACAATATAATATCTGCTCAGGGTGACCTATAAATAAATAAGAGGCAACTATTGGTGCCAAGTGTGATCATGCCACTTGATTGCTAGTTAAATCAGTCCAGATTTAAACATGTAAACTCCTTGATTTGTATGGAGCAAGACATCTGTTTGTGGTTTATTTAAACCTGCTGATGTCTCCAGAACTAAATTTGTGTGGATATAGGCCTCTGGGTAGCTGTACTGAAAAAGCAGAGACATAGTTTTCATCTGGTTACCTGACTTCCAGCCCTATACAGGTGTACTTGAATAAATTAACAGCAGTTACCTGTGATGAGCCACTGCA